TTTTTAATCCTATGCGACATTGTCCCGCAGATTTTTAGGACTTAATGGGGCCAATTAATAATTTTTAGGCCCCGTTTGGGATTTTTAGTTTTTCGTCAAAATAAAATATTTTGATTATTTTAAAAGCGGTGACTTTTGACATTAGTTTTTAAAAGCAGACTTTGATTTGCTTTTCAAAATTTGCTTTCAAAAGAAGTATAGATAAACATTTAATGAATTTTTTCAGTTACTATCATTCATTTTAAAAAGGAAAAACGTCACTTTTGGTCTCTCTAGTTCATCACTTTTACCACTAAGGTTCCTGTGGTTTCAATTTGATCATTTTTGCACCTGTGGTTTTCAATTTAAGCAATTCAAGTCCAATCTCCAATTTCTGTCAAGTTAGGTTAACTGCTATTACTTGTTGAAGGGCATTTAAGTCCAAAAATAAGAAAGAGATTAAAAGGAAAAAAAAAGTAAAAGATTGGGGAAGAGAACCTGTCAGCCACACAACCAGCCCACACCAGGGGTGGAGCCAAACTGGGACCAACAAGTAAAAGTAAAAGTAATATACTGTTATGTATTTGTATATGTATATTATTTCAAATACTTTACGTTTTGATATGTATCAACAAGTGTTGTGGAGGACCTATTAAGGCACAAGGAAGTGCTTCAAATTTCCCATTTACTCAACTGATAATGGTGCACTCTAGGTGTATAGATTACCTTATTTTCATTTTCAACATTTAAGTAAATGTTTTTCTCCTTTTACTTTTATTTATTTTTATATTACTCCATTTACTTAAGTTTACAATGTAAATAAGGAAGTACTCCCTATTTGGATTCAAATAAAAATACTAGAAAATCAAATTCCCACCAAATCAAAATATGAAAATTTGGTTTTAGTGCAAAATACGATTTAGGCTAAAAATGATGGCTCATTAAGTCAATATATACTTCATACTAAAATCCCATAAAATCAAGTTTTCTTATTTGATGTGTAAGGAATAAAAGCCGCCAAAAATTATCTTGAGAAAATGATTATTCCGAAAAACTATGTTTCATACTTAGTCAATATTTTTACATAAAACATTTTTTCATGTATGATATGAATGCATGAAGGGACCTAAGGTTTTTTTTAGTTTGTGAAATTTTGATTTTTTTTTCTTTCTATTGGGTTTAATGAGGGAAAAGCTTTAAAGATATTTGCTAAATCGCTACTATTTGTCTATCTCTTGCAATTTTTCTTGCTTAGAATGTATTTTTCTATCCCTTTGTTGAGGACAATTATTATTTCAACCAATAAGTAATATAATTAGCTTCGCCATTGGCCCACACGTCAACCACCACACTCTCCGCCATCTCCTCAACCCGGTACAACTCCACCATTGCCATCTCTCTCCCTTCTCGTTTTTCTTTTTTTGGATTCCAATCTCTCATTTCTCTTTCAGTACTCATTCTTTCTCTTGGTTAACCCAAAAAAAAAAACTCTTTGATGAATTGTTTGTTCCTCAGAGAATATCACAACAACAACAGCCAAACAATCCATATGGGTCATATATCCATGGCTTTTCTCTCCGAGTCTCATGTTTGTACAAATCACATGTCTCCCATCCCATACATCATAAAGCTCTTTTGCACTAAATAGATTGAAAAGAGATGTTAAAATCATGCAACCAAGCCAACAAAACTGGATGAATACAAAACAACAAATAAATGGCAAAAGAATACAAAAGTCACCGATTGAAGTGCCCTCAGTTTCCTCTCATGTCAAAAAGTCGGAAGCTTCACAACGTAATCAAAGAAAAAGAGACGAACCCATCACAGCCCCACCAACAAATTGAAGAGCATGATCAGAACGACAACGAAATAGAAGAAGTCCAGTGCCAAATAGTAGTCTCCGACTTCCCTGGTGGCTCCGAGACCTTGGAATAGTAGCCAAGTTCTGCAATGGCATCAAGATCGAGGTGGTGGAGTTTACTGGGTGAGGGAGATTGGGGCGTGTGTGGTGGTTGGCGTGTGGTGGTGGGGGTGGGTGTGGCTGACAGCTTCTCTTCCCCTTATATTTTTCTTCCTTTTTTTTAAAAAAGTCTTTCTTGTTTTTGGACTTAAATGCCCCTCAACAAGTAACCTCTGTTAACATAATTTGACAAAAAATTGGATATTGGACTTAAATTACTTAAATTGAAAACCACAGGGCAATAATGATCAAATTAAAACCACATGGACCTTAGTAGTAAAAATGGTAAACCAAAGGGACCAAAAGTGACGTTTTGCCTTTTGAAAAATGACACCACCTCCACTTTCACGTCTAACTCCACCACTTGCACCACCACATTCACTACCTCCACAACCACCGTCTCCACAACCATCGTCACCCCCACCACCACCACCTCCACCACATCCTCCTCCTCCTCATCCTCCGCCACCACCTCCACCACCTCCACCACCATTTCCTCCACCTCCAACTCCGCCTCAACCACCACTACCACCACCTCCTCTGAAACCTCCACATCCACCGCCACCTCCACAAGCAACACCACCACCACCACAACACTGACATTGCCACCACCATCACCACCACCACCTCCACAACCGCCATCCTACCACCACCACTACCACGACCACCAACTCCACCTTCATCACCACCACAACCTCCACTTCATCACCACCACTACCACCACATGATTAGTACATAACACTTTTAACATCATGTCTATTTTAGTCATTATTCACAGTTACAACAATTTTATATTAAAATTTACCAAACGATTTTAACACTGCTTTTTGTACTAACAGTACTTTAAAAATATTGTTTACCAAACATGGAGCTGCTTTACTTTACAGCTAATTATTTTCAAAGCATAGCAGAAACAACTTTTTGTTTTAAAGTGACAGCAATCCCAAACTGGGCCTTAGGAGAGGAATTACAATTTTTTTGTTAGGCCATCTCCAGCCACGGCCATAGACCATATGTAGCCCTCAAAACATGCAAAATTCATCTTCAGTTATGGGCCAAAAAAAATTTGGCCAAATTTTGAGGGCTATATTTAGTCCTTTAGCCATCCTCCCAAGCCACTTGTAGCCCAGGCCAAATTTTTGTGTGAACCCAACACATGTGTTGCCCAAATACGAGAAAGTATCATGCGTGGGCGTGAGAAGGGGAACATTTTGTGCAACTGCGATCCAAAGGTTGATATTAAAGGCATGTTGACGTCTGCTAGTCGTTATTATTATTATTTTTGTTTCTTTTAACCTTTTACATGTATTTAAATTCTCTATTTATTCACAACTTTTCCCTCTCGTTTTTTTGTCAAATGTTTTCCCCACTCATTTCATTCAACCATTTCCTACAATTTTATTCTCTTTACTTATTTTGTTATTCACATTGTAGTGGAATGTATGATTGTTTTACCATAGTTTTTCTCAAAATAATAAAATATGGACGACCTTAAAATATAGCCCTACATGGCTGGAGATGAAAACATTTAGCCCTACACTATTCTTTAGAAAATTAATATTTTGGAAAGCTAAAATTATAGCCCTAAACTGCATTTAGCCCTATGACTGGAGATGGCCTTGCAGAGGAATTACAATTTTTAGGTAAGCAATCCTCTTAGGTCATCTCCAATAGTGGAGGGCTAAATATAGCCCACCCATAAAATTTAGCCTACCATTTATAGTAAAGAATAGTGATGTACTATATTTTTACCGTCTCCAGCAATGTAGGGATAAATCATAGATCCCTCAATATTTTATTAGTTTTTATTATATTCTTTAAATAAATTGAATAATTTAATTGAAGTACTACTTTAGACCTTATTTAAAATTGTGAGAAATTATGAAGAATTATGAAAATAGTAAGAATTTTTTTTTTGAAAATCACATAGAAGGATGAAAAAAAAAAATGTGGGAAATTATGTAGAAATGAGGTTGGTATTTATAGAAAAAATTTAGGAATTTTTTAGGTATATATATATACAGAAATTCTCTATGCTGACATTCAGATGTTATTACCATGCGAACGCCATGTATTTTCTACTACCCCTCCATTATTTCGTCGAAGTTTAAAATGGCGTCTGCATGATAATATATAACGTACGGACGTTCGAATGAGATAATAACTATATATATACAGTTCCCTTCTATTGAAGGATCCATCAATTAATTTTATTTGAAGGACACCCTTTAGGGTACCCTACAAAAACAATTTCAACAATCGAAACCATTTATTTTTTAAGTCTTAGGTCATCCTTGCAAAAAATTAGATTAATCGGAAACCATTTAGGCATCTAATATCCAACAAAATCAATGAACACGATGCTTCAAGAAAGTAATAAAATTTCAATAATTTAATTGAGTGATAAAATGATATCGGATTCAAGTGATTTTTTGTACATATGATCTTTGAATGAATATCTACAAAATTGACGTTTGGATTAATGAAATACAAGGTATGGTGAACCCAACAAGGGTGTCCCTCAAATAAACTTATTTGAGAGATCCCTCAATTGAAGCTCACTATATATATATATATATATATATTGCGGCTACACAATGTCATTCCTTCAAAGTCAAGCACACTATGCCACATGTCCATCTTTGGCAATCCATCTTCCGCCCCGCCTCCCCAACCACCACCAACGTTGCCCATCTTCGTTGCAATTTATTCACCCTAAAAAAATAGAAGATTTTGTATAATTTCTAAGACTCGAACCTTGACCCACAAAGGATGACGCATGAAATATCATTCACAAACCATTAATATTATACCAAACTTGTTTTTGTGATATTTATTCAGTTACACAATATTAATATATACAACCAACTTTTAAAAAAAAATCATTTCAACACTGATTAGCGCAACTTTTGTAACAAATCCCTCATGCTCTAGAGTTATACATAAATAGGTCAATTTAAAAATACCTCACCACCAAAGCAAATGTCGAAGAACTCCCCTCATTTTGATTACCGCAAAACCCAGCTGTTATGCCTGAATAGCATCACAACCTCAGCTTCTCAGCATCCAATCCTTAGTTGTCCATCAACCCACACAAATGCTACAGTGCAAGGTCACATAATGCAAACTCTCTTCCCAGTCCAAATCATACCCCCAACACTCTGCACATCAACCACCGATCAAAATTGAATAAAAAAGTTAGAACTTTACTCCTATGCATCATTTTCCAACTCTCATCAAACTACACAATTATTCAACAAGAAGAAGAAATTGCATAAACATAAATACATCGAAATCAATACAATTCAACACCCGCCCAAGTACGACCTTAACGAGAGAGAGCTATGGCAAAGAAGGAAGAACCAGACAGAGAGAATTGCCTCCTTTGCTCTCCGGTCTCAGCCTTCCTCTACCAGAACTAGCCATCTCCAATGATGCATCGTACGAAGTCACAGCCACTACCATCATCGGAAAACGAGCCTACCTCCAAAGCCGAGCCAGAGGTTCTGGATGAGCCTTGCCAGGGGTTTTTGCAGAGGGAGAACTTCTCCACCGAGATCATTGAGAGCATTTCGTTGGAGGAGATTCTACCGACGGTCAATATCTGTGTCGTCATCCTCCAAGAATCATGCCACATTTGGCCATTTTAGCCTGTTGATTGGGTTTGGTGCAGTGACATGGCCCATTTAGCCCACTTTCTGGAGATGGATTTTGGGTGTTAAAAGGCTAAATATGAAGATTTTGTCCACTGTTGAAGATGGGCTTACAATTTTGATATCGCATCATTTTGCTTCCCTAAATCGAAGTATGTACCTAATAATATTTTGTTTAAGAAGAGGAGGGAGACTTATTCACACACTGATGTCTTGGGAGGTCATCTATGATCCCATTGGCTATCCCTATTGCATAGCCAACTTTTGCCCAGATTATGGCAACAACAACAAAAAAAAAATCTGTTGCCATTAAAAAACCCACGTTGGGCTACTTTGGTGAAGACCATTTCTTCTCCTAATAGCTCAAAGAATTGGCTTTTTGGACAAATACAAGAAGCATATAGGAAGGATTTTGAAAAAGCATTTGGAATACTACAGGCTGGATGAGCTATTTATCGGTGCCCTATATGTTTGTTGTGCAAGGATAACCTCCACTCAATGATGATAACGTGTATAATTTTGCACAACATGATTGTGGAGGATGAGTACGAATATGTTGAAAAGGAAGATGATGATGAGGATACGTGTCCACAATGATCCAGGAGGCCCAGAGCAAGACAATATGAGCCGGAGGCAAACATTACATATGAGTACCACCAAGATAGGCAGACTCTCTCAGATTTCATGATTCGTCATAATAGAGTTCGATCTCCACATGTGCATCAGAGTCTCCGACATGATTTGAACAATCACCTTTGGAGGAGCTTTGGAGATAGTGAATGAGGTCGACAGTTGTTTCAATTCTCCTTTTATATATGTTTCAATTATGTTGTGTGTTTTCTTTTCGAATAAAATTATATTTGTGAAATTTTAATTTTTTTAGGCCAAATTGTTCAAAAAATTAAGGGTGATTCACTATTATACCCAATATAGGAGCTCAAATTATAAAAAAAATCATACACGAAAGGGACTTTAAAAACACACTCAAAGCCCATTTACAACATAACAAAGAGGCTTCAAACTTCCAATAAATTTCAAAACTGCCATCGATTTCTTTCACCAAGCTCAACTCCAAAACCTCATAAGAAAAACCCAAAACACTCGGCATCAAAGTACTTTAATAATGAAAATTAAATTTAATAGGGTCAACTGTTATTTTTTGGGTTTTTTTTTGTTTGTTTATAGAAATTAAAAGGTGTAGGGTTTATCTATATCACTAGTGCTAAGAATGGTTATATAACTAAATATCTCAAAAATTAAATAATGAATTTATTTAAAAAGATTAAATGAAGAAAAGTTATCCATGAAAAAAAAAGGACTTAAATCATTCTTAAACAATTTAATGCAGTTATGGACTTAAAATTTGATTTTGGAGGGCTAGGGGAAAAACAGTTTGAATCCGAGCAAAACCCAAATAGTTATCTAGAGGAAGTTTGAGTTTAGAAGCAAAATGGTTGGAGAAGGCGTCAAAAATTTCGATATCGCATCATTTTGCTTCCCCAAATCCTAGTGTCTACCCAATAATTTTTGTTTAAAAAGTGGAGGGAGACTTGTGAGTAGGCCTCATCATTTGGCCCGCGGGCTCATGGGCCTATGGGGGCCCGCCCGGCCCATCGTAAAAAAGCCCGGTCCGGCCCGTTATGGGCTTTAAGAGGGCCTCCCGTTATGGGCTTTAAGAGGGCCCGGCCCGCTTGGGCTTGGGCTGGGCTTGGGCTTAGGTGTTTGAAGCCCGGCCCGATTAAGCCCATTAAAGCCCGGCCCGGCCCGGCCCGCCCACAAAAGCCCGGCCCGGCCCGGCCCACCCACAAAAGCCCGGCCCGTTAGGCCCGTATACATATATAATTATGTATAAATAAGGGTTTATGATTAGGATTACATCACTTGAATGACAAATCCCCCTCTTTCATTTGTGTGTGTGTGTGTGTTACTTGTTTGAAAAATTGTGTTTCTATTAAATTCTACTCATTCCTAGTTTATAATTGGATGATTAGCACATTAATTTGTGTCATTTATTAATACAACAGTTATATATATATAATAAAACGAACAACATATCATATCACCAAACATAATCATACCACCAAATATAATCATACTTTTCTTTAACACATCATCAAATATTTGCATATTTATTCATACCATTCTTATAAAATAAATAAATTTTTTTTACACTTACTATTTTTTAGGCCCATTTCGGCCCGGCCCATTGGGCTTAGCCCGGCCTGACCCGATGGGTTTTTTCAAGCTCGACTCATGAGATGGGCTTGGGCTTTGAATTTTCTAAAAAAATCCAGCCCGACCCGGCCCGATATTTTCTCTCTCCTCTTTAAAGTCCGGCCCGATCCGGCCCAAGTCCATTAAATTTGGGCCGGGCCATTGACGAGCCCTACTTGTGAGTTATCACACGCTTATGCCTTGGTTGGCTATTCCTTTTCGCATAGCAACCTTTTGCCCAGGTTACGAGATAAAAAAAGTTTTGCCAGCTAAGACATGGAAAAGGACAAGGATAAGAAACAAAAGAAATGTCAGTACTGTAAGATGTGCTCAACCCCAAATATGCAAATGTCCTTTTCAAAATTTAAAAGAAAAAAAAATAGCAAGCCTGGGCGGGACTAAGAATGGTGAAAGGCCTGGTTCCTGCGGGTGCAATCGTTGTTGATGTTCTTAGCAAAGATAACTATGAGCATTGGAGTGCGTTGGTTAAAAATTACTTGCTGGCTCAAGACCTTTGGGACGTAGTGGTGGCTACAGCTGAACCTCTTGTACCAGAAGAAGCTGATCAGTTCGCTTGGAGGAAGAAGACTGCCGCGGCGTTACATGCGATCCAAATTTCGTGTGGGCCGGATGCGTTTTCCTTGATTAAGGAGATCATTTCAGCCAATGATGCTTGGGATATTTTGGCCCAAACGTTCAAGCCACAACGATGGAGATCTGTTCAGTCTGCAAACTCATCAAACAACCCAGGTATAGTGTTAAAAAAAGAACAAAGAATACTCAAATGTTAATGTGCTCCGTCCTTGCAAAGACTTGATCTGAATACATATAAACCTCTAATTTCCAAATTATTTTTATTCAGCCAAACATATATTAGTTTAGAGTTACCACACTAAACATATATTTTATGTTGGAATCCCACATCGGTGGGGTGAAAGAAAACAAATGGGTTTAAATAGAATTACCACACTCTAACTAACATCGAGGCCTTTTGTGGTAAAACCCCACACCTGACGGATTGGGCAGGTGGTAAAGTGGGAACAATATCGGTGTTGTTAGAGTGGGACCCAACGGGCAGATCCAAAAACTTCAACATGGTATCAGAGCCAAGACCCATACAAGCTAACGAAGCTTGTCACCAAGAAGGAGAAACAAGTCGGACTCTTAAAATAAAAAAATAAAAAAAGAAGAAGAAAAAATAAAAAAGGGCCAACGAAGCTTGAAAAGAGCTGACCTCTGAGTTTCATTGAAAACAAGTGGGCCCAACGAGAGCCGACCTCTGAATTTCAATTGCCGATGTGTGGATCTTCACGTGTGATTACACGTGAGGGGGAGTGTTGGAATCCCACATTGGTGGGGTGAAAGAAAACAAATGAGTTTAAACAGAATTACCACACTCTAACTAACATCGAGGCCTTTTGTGGTAAAAACCTCATACTTGACGGATTGGGCAGGTGGTAAAGTGGGGACAATATCGGTGTTGTTAGAGTGGGACCCAACGGGCAGATCCAAAACCTGGAATGGGTGAGCTTCGTGCTCCCATTTTCAATGGCAACAATTATGATTTCTGGATAATCAAGATGTGCACGATCTTCAAATCTCACAAGCTATGGGATATGGTTGAAAATGGGTATGCTCAACCTGTGAAGAAGGAAGAAGGAGAAGCTGACTGCAGCTCAAAAGCTTGCATTGGAAGAGAATGTTGCAAAGGATGCTAAGGCTTTGGGTCTGATACAGAGTGCACTTTCTGACGATATTTTTCCCAGAATTGCATTGAAGAAGTCAGCTAAGGAAGCATGGGAAATTTTGCAGCAAGAGTTCAGAGGAGATAAGAAGGTAAGATCTGTAAAACTCCAAGCACTTAGAAGGGAGTACACTCGTATGCAAGAGGGGGATTCCTTATCTGATTACATAACTAAGATGCTTGAGTTAGTAAATCAAATGAAAGCATATGGTGAAGAGATTACTGATCAGAGGATTGTGCAGAAACTTTTGATTAGTTTATCTAGGGAGTATGATTCTATTGCTGAAGTAATAGAGGAAACCGCTCAAATTCTGCTCAAATTCTGGCAACGGTGGATCTATGAGTGTTAGTAATACATTCTCTTTTCTCTTGCTACAATCACGTTCATTATATCCCATATATATTTTGCTTACAGTTTATCTACCCCATTTATATAACAATAATTTTATTCCACTTAAGTTGGACATGCCAATTCACTTAAATTTTCTTATGTTTCATAGTTTCAATTATAACACTTTAATAAATAAAAATTTGTCAAACGTTTATCTTCTTGCCTCACTCCTCCTCTTCCTCTGATATTCATCACCCCCAATCTCCTCCTTCCTTCTGAAAGTTCCCCCCACCACCCCCCCCTCCCTTCTTTTTTTTTTTCCTCTTGCGCTTCTTCATCCTCCCTCCCTCCCCATTTCAAGAATAAATGGAAAGAATTTGACCATAAATAAATAAACAAACAAAAGAGTAGATAAAAAGAAAGAACAAAATTAATGCAATAAATAGGAAGGTCATCCAACACAGATCTAAGAAATTTTCAGTCATAAACATTTACCCGTAGCCTGTAATATGATGGATTATGAGCTGCTACATTTTGAGATTGTGCATTTACGCGCATTTTGCAACATCTAGACCATTCTATTAATATGTCTGTTTTAGGACATGACACATCAACAAATCTAGTGTTAAAAATTATTAGGATGGTCCACATGGTGTAGAATTGTGGTAAG